TTTTTTTTTTTTTTTTTTTTTTCCAGTTATCATGCTCTTCCATCCAGCTCTATGGTTTCTCCCTGCACAGGGTGCCTGCCCTCAGCAGAGGGAGAAAGGGCACGTCTGTATATTGCCATAGCGATCATTCATAGGACACCCTCCTTGGCACTAGCATAGTGCTTTTTGTTGTTATTCTGCATTTCCTCTTCACAGCCACTCTTGTGACTAGCCTGATGTATAGATGAGAAAACAAAGGCTCAGAGGGGATAAATGACCCACCCAAAGTTACATAGCTAGTAAGTGGTAGAGCAGTGGTTCTCAACCTAAGTTGCAACCCCTTTGTAACAATGAAAATATATTGCAGCATTAGGAAGGTTGAGAAGCACTGTGGTAGAGCAAGAACTGGGACCCAACTCTGTATGATTCCAAAATCTGTGCTCTTAATGTGATGATGTACTATTTTTAAAAAGGAAACCTTTTGAATATTGATAATTAATTGCCTGAGCTCACTGATTTGAGACCAGCCTGAGCCAGAGGAAGACCCCGTCTCTAAAAAATAGCCGGGCGTTGTGGTGGGCACCTGTAGTCCCAGCTACTTGGAAGGCTGAGGCAAGAGAATCACTTGAGCCCAAGAGTTTGAGGTTGCTGTGAGCTGTGACACCACTGCACTCTACTAAGGATGACAAAGTGAAGCTCTGTCAAAAAAAAAATGTGTGTATATATATATAGATAATTAATGAAGCTATGGTTATGTGGGGGTTTATTGTCTTTCTCTGAAAAAGTAGCTTTTTAAGACTTAGTAAGATAATACCATTGCACTTGCACTTTAGTTTGGGTGATAGAATAAGACCCTGTCTTGGGAAAAAAAAAGGCTGTGGTATGAGAATATGTAAATATACACATAAATATATTTTCAAAATTATTTTTTTGAGACAGAGTCTTACTCTGTAATTGTGGGTAGAGTGCTGTGGTGTCATAGCTCATAGCAATCTGAAATTCCTGGGCTTAAGGATTCCCAGGATTCTCTTGCCTCAGCTTCCCAAGTAGCTGGGATTACAGGCACTTGCCAAGATGCCCACCTAGTTTTTCTATGTTTAGTAGAGACAAGGTCTCAATCTTGCTCAGGCTGGTCCTGAACTCCTAAGCTCAAGCAATCTACCTGCCTCGGCCTCCCAGGCATGAGCCTCTGTACCTGGCCTAAAATTATATGAAATGCAAAATGTGAAAAATAATTTTCATCTAGGGATAATATAAGTAATAGTCTGGTGTATATCTTTCATTTTATGTGAATTTACATACACATGTACAAATATCTTTTTTTTTTTTTTGAGGCAGAGTCTCACTATGTTGCCCTTGGTAGAGTGCCTTGGTGTCACAGCTCATAGCAACCTCAAACTATTGGGCTTAAGCGATTCCCTTGCCTCAGCTTCCCAAGTAGCTGGGACTACAGGTGCCCACCACAATGACAGGCTATTTTTTTGTTGCAATTGTTGTTGTTTTAGCAGGCCCAGGCAGGTTTGAACCCACCTGCCTTGGTGTATGTGGCCAGCACTCTAACCACTGAGCTATGGGCACCAATCCCATATATCCTCTTTTTAAACAAATGGGAACATACACCATTCTGTACCTTGTTTTTTTTAAATCTAATAAGACTTAAGAGTTTTTTGTTTTTTTTTTTGAGACAGAGCCTCAAGCTGTTGCCCTGGGTCAAGTACTGTGGTGTCACAGCTCACAGCAACCTCTAAGGAGCTGGGACTACAGGCGCCTGCCCTGCCACAGCGCCTGGTTATTTTTTGGTTGTAGTTGTCATTGTTGTTTGGCAGGCCCGGGATGGATTCCAACCCACCAGCTGTGGTGTATGTGGCTGGCGCCTTAGCTGCTTCAGCTACAGATGCCGAGGCAAGAGTTTTTTTTTTTTTTAAATATATATAAATAGTCAATATACAGGGAATTTCCTCAATCTCAAGGGCCACACAGTATGGTTACACTATAACTTAATTTTACCAATCCCCTACTGATTAACATTATGATTGTGTTCATTTTTTGCCAATGGTGACTGCTGTAGTAAATGTGCTAGTACATCTTCATGTATATGTATAAGTATTTCCTTTCTTTTTTTTTTTTGGAGACAGTCTCACTATGTCACCCTGGGTAGCGTGTCATCCTGGGTAGAGCTGTGGCATCACAGCTCACAGCAACCTCAAGTTCTTGGGCATAAGCAATTCTCTTGCCTCAGCCTCCCAAGTAGCTGGGACTACAGGTGCCCACCACAATGCCCAGCTGTTTTTTTTTTTTTTTTTTTTGGTTGGAGTTGTTGTTGTTTGGCAGGCCTGGGCTGGATTTGAACCCACCAGCTCCAGCGTATGTGGCCAGTGCCCTAGCCGCTGAATTACAGGTGCTGAGCCTATGTACAAGTATTTCATTAAAATTCGTTTTAAAAAATCACTGCATCAAACAATACATACATTTAAAATTTTGAAAGTACTTGCTCTACACAAGGCTTTGGTGAATTTTTTATTTTTTGAGACAGAGTCTCAAGCTGTCGCCCTGGGTGGGATGCTGGGGCATCATAGCTCACAGCAACCTCAAAGTCTAGGGCTTAAATGATTCTCTTGCCTCACCTCCCAAGAAGCTGGGACTACAGGCGCTCGCCACAATAGTCTGGCTATTTGTTGTTGTTGCAGTTGTCATTGTTGTGTTAGCTGGCCCAAACCTGCTGGCGCCCTACCCACTAAGCACAGGCGCTGCCCCGAATTTTTACTCACCAGTCTTGTGTTATATAACATGCCGGAAATCTTTTTTGAAAACAAGTGGACATAACAAAATTAATGGTTTTTTCTTCAGCAAGGGAATAAAGTGATTTGGGTACTAAGGAAATTACTAGCACTCAGTCCTAGATCACAAGGTATACCTATAATCAGAGCCATGACTCTAGGATTGGTTGTCTGTAATTTTTAGGGCATCGGAAAGGAGGACTGAACCGCCTAGTCTTGGCAGAAAAAAAGCCTCATGAGGTCTTGCTTACCTTGGTTGCACCAGCTTCAGATCTTCCCTGCTTGGACTGATTTGAGGCAGGTTACTCTAGGATTGCCATGGAAAATAGCCATCTTTGGCTGGGCTCCATGACTCACACCTGTAATCCTAGCACTCTGGGAGGCCGAGGAGGGTAGATTGCTTGAGCTCACAAGATTGACACCAGCCTAAGCAAAAGCAAGACCCTGTCTCTACTAAAAATAGAAAAACTGAGCCAAAAGGATCACTTGAGCCTGCGTTGGAGGTTCCTGTGAGCTATGACACCATGGCACTCTACCCAGGGCGACAGCTTGAGACTGTCTCAAAAAAAAAAATAGCCACCATCATACCTCATACAGGGGTGTGAGAAGACTAGACTTTGCTCCAGCCTTCACTGTGTAGCCCAGAGCAACTTTGGGGTTACTATTTTTTTAATTTCAGATTAATATGGGGCTACATATGATTTAGTTGCCATTAATACAGTATTTTTTTTCTTCCCTCAAACAGCGTGTTAATATATGTACTTTGCAAAAAATGTATCTTAAAAGAGCTTTTTGATTGCTTAAGCCCAGGAATTCAGGGCTGAAGTGAACTATAATTGCACCACTGCACTCCAGCCTAGCTGACAGCAAAACCCTGTCTCTTAAAAGAAAAAAATAGTGAGGAATGTCAGATTTGGAGTTTATAGTCCTAATTGTACCTGACCCTTTAATATTGTTATATATAGAATATATAATGATATATGTCATATATATCATTTATTTCTTTTTTGTTTTCCAGTCTCCAAAGATGTAGTCTATTCCTTTTAACCATAGTTCGTAAATAGTAATCAGAGAGTATAGAGCCTGACTCCCTCATGTGAAGTATTTAATTTATTTTTATTTTT